GGTCCAAAAGTGCACCTAGCACTTAAATAAAATAAGAGCTCTAGCCAGATGTCACGTATCGAATGCCTGAGCAGCTGAAAAAGCACCAATGGCTATAGCTACCAGTTCTGCTATTCCCAATTCTGCAGGGTCTGCACAGGTTCTAGATTTAAAATACCTTTTTGAGCGAGAATATTCAGAAAAAAGGAGGCTTTAGTAGATGATGGATAGGGGAATTCTAGTAAAAAGAGGTAGATATATGCAGTATGGGGATACAGATGTATTAGGTAGCACTGATCTGGGGACTTGATTCAAGTCAGCAGTTAGCAGCTGATCAATGGCAGCTGTTTAACCCCAAGAATCTGCTCACTGAAACTTCTCTGCTAACTGCTGCACTGTAATTGCCATGCAAGAACTGATTAGCAGTGGCTTCCCAATACAAAGCGTTGTTTGAGGGGATGAGGAGGAAAAGAGAGGATTAAGAGTCTACACATTGCAATTACCATGCATTAGCAGTTTAGAGGGAAGAAATGAGTGACCCTGCAGCACGCAGAGCAATAACAACATGTAGTAAACAGACTTTTATGAAATAGGTTGAGAAGATTTGGTAAGAAGCTGCAATTCTGTTTTGGAGTAGTAATAAGATGTACAACAGAACTGAAGAAGCAGGAAGATTAGATTTTTTAGCATAGGGAGCATGGCTTAATAATAATTTGCAGGCTTTGCCGTCTTATCTGCTTGTGTGAATTATATGCCCTGCTCTGAATAAATCAGCTACCTCTAATAGTGAGAGCAGAGAATGACTGACAAATTTGCTAATGAAGTGAGTAAATGAACATGGAATCATGCAGCAAAGATTAAAATAAGTTTTTGTTGCACTGTATACACTGGTCAATTGAGGCTTTTTTTTAAATAAAAGACATGCACAGTATATTTTTGTACTGTTTTGATAAAGTGATCTAAAATCACCTGGCTTGCATTAATTTGCCATTCCTGTATCCTTTAAAAAAAATGAAATTCCAGTCATTAAATTCTCTACCTTGGTTTCATTTTGCAATGGAGGAAGTCCCTTAATCAGAACAAGAAACATTTTCCATTACCCATGGAAGTGACAAAAATACAATGTATACTTTCTAAAGTTGCCAAGTTTTAGGGTAGCAAGGCTAAACACTTACTTACTAAGAGGAAAATACGTCAATCAAAAACCACAAGAACACAGTTTTCCTGGCACCTACTCCAGAATCTCAACCTAATTCTTGCACTGTTTTGTTTTACTGTCTGGGCTATGATTTATGTGATAGCAGGTAAATAGACTTTGCTCTGCAAGTCACTGAAGACCAGATGTAGCTTTAAGTGCAAAAGTATCACAAACATATGTGCTTTATCATTAAGCACCATTTTACCAGATACCACCTAGAAATAAATTAATGCCAGTTCACATTTAACAGGGGAAGAATCAGCACCTACTACGCCTGTCATCTAGGCATGTTTGTATTAAACATATATGAAACCTATACTAGTAGGGCCCTCAAAACAGTCAGTAGTTGCCAACGTGGCTGTATTAGCAATTATACACGTGCAGCCCCTGGATGCTTCTTTATTTTAGTCAAACACAAGATCACTTGTTTTTGAAGCCCTAATACTGCTTTTGACAAATATGACTCTCCCTCCTGAAAAGAAAATTCCATACTCTTTCTCCGAGTGTAAGAGTCTTTCCAATAACTTCCACACTTAAGAAACAATGCTTTGGGGAAGGTATTTAGAAGTCGTAGTACAGCTCATTCCTGATAGACTGGTTTGTCTAACTGTACTGTAGACAAGTACCTCATTCCACATGCCATAATCAGCTAGCCAAACAAACGACTGAAGTCATTAGGACACCTACAGCCCAGTAAACAAGAAGGTACTACCACAGATTTCAGAGTACAACCTCTTGCAATGTCTTTACAGGCATTGTACAAGCAACTGCTAATCAGTTCTCGGTTCTGGGACAGAACCGTCTTTTGTTCTGTATCTGCGCAGAACCAAGCACAACAAGATGACAGCTCCCCGAGTTTCACTGCAAATACAGCACAATTTTCTAAGCCATTTTAGATCTACAACTTCACAAGTCCTTCAAGAAAACAGCTGTACTAATATTTTTCCACACGAGCATAATTTTCTATCACCTTATACAAAAAAATCTAATTTTGCAGAAGCCACGCTAGAAACACTTGGTCTCATTCAGATGTATGCTAGCAACTTTGTGGAATGAAGAACAGACCGAACCATCCTAGAATGAGTAAAGTCGGAATAAGAAACAGAAGCAGGGACTACAGAGAGATATTAGCGCAGGACAGACTGAGTGAGTTATGATCTTTCTTTCAGGACTAGCACTGGTATGAGAAGCGCAAGAATTATTTCCATATTCTGGTTTACCAGCAGTAACAAAAACGTCAAGAGTATGTTTGCACAACACATAGCAAGATGATTTCATAGCATAGTACCACTAAAAGGGACTATTCCTATGCATCTTCTCCTTTTGAGAAACTGTTCCTTGTGCTTACCTTGACCTGGGTTCTTCTTTTCATCACGTTCCTCTAAGCTACGTAAATTCAGCTTAGTTTACTAAAACGGTAGATAATAAGTTGAATACAAATCGTTTCCTACCATTTTGGTGAATTAAAATCAACTCACAGGAGTCAGGTCAAGTGCTAGAAAGAAGAGGCCAGGCAGCGCAGCCGCCAACAG